GCTGCCATAAGTTTTCAACATTATCTTGCTCAGCATGGGTAGGACGTAACTATTCTAAGAGATGCTTTTCGGCTCCAACAAATCACGAACAACTGAAACATTTCCACTTTGCCTTTCAGCCTCCGCTCTGAAACATAAGCTAAATTCACGCCATAATGACAGTATTAATGCTGCGCTATCACCTGCCATATGATGTATGCTTCTGCCAAAACTTCGCATAATTATGGCGACGTAAATAGAAAAAACCGGCAAAGAGAATTCAGGAGCGTAACTAAAAGTAAAACGTTTTTTTACTGTTCACCCGACCCATCTCAGGAGGCTGGAAAGTGGTCAGGGGAAATGTGGAGATCCCTCATATCAAGGCATGGAGGTCACACGCATCAAAGTGGCGGTTTGCCACATTATCTCTGAGGCGTCTTGTATAGTAGCTGTCGGGGCCCAGTAACTGCTTTGGCTGATGATCCCGTTGCTGAAACCAACGCTCTCTTTGCGCTACTGTAACACACAGGAGGAGACATTTATTTCAGCACCTTGATGCCTTGACGTAACTTTCAACACTTAGTTTGTAACTGTCTCCATGCGTCAGATGTCATGGATATCAGATGTCATAGTCATTAAAGCGTCTCTCAGGTACCTGCCATTGAACGATTGCGTCTGTCACGGACCTGTCATTAAACGGTTGCGTCTGTCAGGGACCTGCCATTAAACGATTGCGTCTGCCACGGACCTGCCATTAAACGGTTGCGTCTGTCACGGACCTGCCATTAAACGATTGCATCTGTCACGGACCTGTCATTAAACGATTGCGTCCTGTCACGGACCTGTCATTAAACGGTTGCGGTAGATGAGCGCCTCGCGGTGGTGATGCTCACTGACGCTCGGATGTAAAAATAGCTACATGCAATAGTCTTGAACTTTGACGTGACCCGAAGAGAAGGAAAGCAGTCGCAAAGAATGAAGGAGACCAGCACGAAACGGGAATTGTCCTGCTAGACTCTGCTTCATTTGACCGTCTGTGTCGGGGCGATGATCGGGCTCTGTCACTAATTGCTGACAAGTCCCCTCAGTTGGGTACACTGTATAATTGTATGCATGCGGTACATTCGCTTTGGCTGCAGAGCGCGTGTCCGATTCTGACGTGTGTTTTGACGTGTAGTAGTTTGACGTGTAGTTCCTTGTCCTGTAGTCTCCATAACGCAGCCAGACAGCTTTAGAGAACACATTTGTGTTAGCCTCGTAAGCCTTCGACCGGCATGCGTATGAACTGCGTACGGTTTCTGGTACATTCTTGCCTTGCCTGGTGCTTGTTTTAATCCCGTGGATAATTAATGAGGCGGATAACTTGGCATGGCCTGAAAGGACCGTTGTTTACGCGTTATAAGCGGGGAGTGCTCTTAGATTGGTCCCGCACTATCGATTCGCCGCGGTTTATTGCGGCGGCTTCTTTGGCGTGCAAAGTTTGGACCTCCAGGACGCTGGCGCCGCCCAGAATTGATGAGCGAATTAGAGTCGGCGCGAGCGGTTCCGTAGTCTGCAAACGGGCGCACACCGGCCGCCGTCGTATACCCGGCCGGGCGCATTGTCTCGCTGGAGGCGTGACGGAATTCGGTGAGATTGTCGTGAGAATCGCGTCGTTCGTATTGATGGGAGGTGTGGTGTGGCTGCCGCGAGCTCCTTGGGCGTGCAGGACTGGTTGCCGATTTTCCTCCTACAGCCACCCGTGGGCTGGCTTCCCGAGTGGACACGTAACTAATTCGGGCATTTATCATTTTTCCAAGTCAGAGGGGTCGAATGTCGTGATAGGTTCCTTGAAAACTGCGAGAAACAGTCTGCGCGATCATAAATCGGAAATTGACTTGGCATTTGCTCTGATTTCGCCGTTGTGCGTGACGCGCATTGATTGGGGGAGCGGTGAGACTCACCTGCCATTTCCAAATCACGAAAGAAAAAGCTTAGTGAAAAACACCTGTGAATTGCTCTGAACGAGATCTCATGATTGGTACCAAGCTTTATGCTGCTAGCTCAATAATTGACTACCTTGGGCCAGATCAAAGTTCCAATTTTCCCGAAAATCGACCTCTTTCAGCTTTACATTCTCATATGTATGAGATGTCGTGTAGCAACATGAAACCCCATGAACCGTGTTCCTTGTCCAATTTTGAGTACAATGGTATTGTGGTCTTGATGTGTTTTGAGCATACCTTGTTGCTGCTGGTTCCCCCCCCCCCACGCCGGCTGTACATTACCGTGGGGTGTTCTTCAAAAAACCTCTGCTGCTCCGGATCCAGAAACGCCAGGGACGCGTTTTTGGTGTCAAAACACGCGCAACGGATGCCTCATAGGCTATTAAATGTTCGGGCGTTTTTGCATGGCATGCCGGAGAGGTGTCCCCAGACAACCTATAGGCTGTGTCTGGGTTCCATCGACCCAGTGACGGTTATTTGAGGTAGTGGTAGGGGTTAATGGAGGTTTTGGCTGCGCCTTCCACGAATGCCACGTAAGTTTTCAATTCAGTCGAGCGTTTGAAAGAAGAAAGACTCCTTGGAGGAATGACGAATCACTGATTGGATTCCACGCATCAAACAGTAACGTGAAATCAGTAATGTGAGGTCCACCGATTTTCGCCGAGTATAATTTTCATGGAAGAAGCCATCCAGCACTTTTCTCTCTGCAACTGAAGGCAGGGAGGGGCTGAGGTATTAAGCAGGGACGAGGTAACGATGTTACAGATGCAAGGCTTTGCTGAAGCTGAGCATGATTAGTGCATTGAGTATGGATCGGGAGCCAGTACGGTGTGGCAGGTCCTGATAGCAACGGGCACGCCACACCATACCATTACTAACAGGCATGCCATCATGTTTTGGTGCCGGAAAAATACGGCGTCACCAGCTCAGAAATCGGCGTATCGCCGCCGGTAGTGACTAAGCGCCAGCTGTTGGTGCGTTTTCGACGAATTCGTGTCTCCCGTGCGTTCACCTCCCAGTGCTGTCGCACCCAGCATTGGCCTTCGTGCGGCACTCCTAAATGGAACACCTCTAGAAAAAGAAGACAGGAAAGTGAGATCCAATTGTAGACAGAGGTGTGTATATCTTTGTCTCATCTCATCATCACACATAGTCCAGATATCATATATATATATATATATATATATATATATATATATATATATATACAGGCATCGTACCTATTTTGTACTGCAAACCCATGTGTATCGGCAGGCATTGTCGATGAATGGAATCAAAGAGAAATAGTGATAACAACGCTAGGTCCTTTCCGTCATCTTGCGTGAGCAGCGAATATGGGACGTTAAACGCAGTGCGGCCTCTCCGACACCACCCGCTCCATCCCCTTCCCCTGCCGATACAGCGCGTCCGACTCCACCCGCTCCATCCCCTCCCCAGCCGGTGCAGCCTGTCTCCACCCGCTCCATCCCCTCCCCAGCCGGTGCAGCCTGTCTCCACCCGCTCCATCCCCTCCCCAGCCGGTACAGCCTGTCTCCACCCGCTCCATCCCCTCCCTGGCCGGTACAGCCTGTCTGACTCCACCCGCTCCACTCTTCCTCGGCCGACGCCGCTGGCCGCCCGCCTTTCGGATTCGTGCGACGGCACAGCCCGCTCGCTCCCACCAGCCCCACGCCGCCGTCTGTGGCCGTCGCCTCGCTTCTGCTCGCCGTCGGTCCGTGCCGGCGACGCGGAGAGCGAATTCAGCCGCTCAACAGCCGCAATCTGTCAGCGATCGGGCCGAAAAACGGCGACACGGCCGCCGCCGGCATCGCTATGCATGGGCGTCGCGGCCGTGATGGATCGGTCGGTCGGCCGTTTCGCTGAGACTCTCGCCTTTCGGAATGGGTTGCCGCCATCTCCGGCCGGCTTTGGGTCGCGGGAGAGATAGCGTGACGGCCGCGCGACGAGACCGGCGTCCGAGAGACGGGTGCCCACGCGCCGTGGCGCCGAGCGAGCAGGCGGCTTCGGCCTCGCGCTGATGATTTTTGTGACTCCAAAAATCACCGGCGGGTGGTGGAGTCTCTGCCCGGCAGCAGAGTGGCTTGACCTAACCAGCCAACTGGCAGGTTCACTGCATCATCACGGCCACCTCCGAAATGCCCACGATGTGTTTGGTCACGCGTCAATGTAAGCTGTGAAATGCACTGCGACGCAACACAGGTGCTGCAGAGCTGGGGCGGCCTTCACCGGGTGTTGAACCTTGTTTGCAGGCGTCTTGTCTCACCGCATCATGTGTTCCCCGCTTGACCTGAAGCGCTATAAGTATGAGGGGCTATTGTGTCAATCTGGCATGCCTAACCACCAGGGGTTGTTCTCCGTGAAGTACCTACCGAACGTGGCCAAGCCGCTCACCCGTGACCTGGAATGTGTGCCCTTGGCCTTCAGCTGTATGCACGTGATCTTGATCGCGTGCCTGTGACCTTGGCCGTTTTTTCATGACCTTTGACCGTGCTCCGCTCCCTTGACCGCGTGTCCGTGACCTGCGTGCTAACACATTGACCTGTGCTTACATGACCTTGACCGGCGTGTCCGTGACCTTCACCGCGTGCCCTCACGGCAGGCGTGGTGGCGCACCACGGACTGCTGTACGTGGTCGGCGGCGACGACGGCGCCATGACCCTCAAGACGGTGGAGGTGTACAACCCGAAGACGGACGCGTGGACGCTGCTGCCGTCGACCATGTCGACCGGCCGCAGCTACGCGGGCGTTGCCGTCATAGACCGCGCGCAGGCGCTGCACTGAGCAGCGCTGGCCAGGCGGCCGAGGCTCCACCGGCGGCGGTGTCTACCGGGAGTGGTGGAGTTGTGCGGTGGCGCTGACAGCTGCCGAGTGCGGTAGAGGTCCGCGGCTGATACTAGTTGCGGTACAGCTCTACTGGGCGCGATGTTTACCGGGTAGGTTAGAATTCCGCCGGGTAGTGGCATTTGCTGATTTTGGTAGAGTTCTGCTGGTGTCTACTGGTGTGTACTGAGCGTGCTAGAGGTCCACCAGCGTAGACGGTGCGTGCACGAGCATGAATCCTTTGGGAGCGGTAGTGGTCTTATGTTTCCGAGGACTTTGGTGGCCAGGGGCTTCTGACTTCTGATAACCGAGGGCCTCTGACTTCTGATGACCAACGGCTTCTGACTCTGACGACCGAAGGCTTCTAACCTCTGATGACCGAAGGCTTTCGGGGACTGAGGACTGGTTGCGACTAGGACGAGGAGGAGTACGAGGATACGGGGACCTCTGCTGTCCTCTATAAGGTGCGGCGGAGGACTGTGCAGAGATCATCATGACTACGGAGTGAGCTTCATCACGGGACTTGAGACCACGACGAGTCTACTAGCTGTGGTCTACCTGGGTTGCATTCCATGTTCATGTGGACCCGTCTACCCGGAGCTCATGTTCATGTGCACCCGCCTACCTGGTGTACATTTCATGTTCATGTGCACCCGCCTACCTGGTGTACATTTCATGTTCATGTGCACCGGTCTGCCTGGCGTGCGTTTCACGTTCATGTACGCCCGTCTACTGCATGTGCGTTTCATGTCCACGTGCACCCCCTCTTCCCTTCGCTATGCATTTTGAGGGGTCGCCCCGCCAGCGGCTGACCTGTGGTGTACACAATGGAAGCCGCTGAGGGTCACAACAATAGGCCGCTCCCTCTGAAGAGTCCGCGCGTGTCTGGTACGGCCGATGGCACGAGCTATGAGCTTCGAGCTCGCGCACCACGACGGCTCGCTGGAGCCTGCAGGGTATGGTGTCGCGGACGCGGGGCCGAGCACCGCCAGGGAAGGCCCGCGCGGAGTCCCTGGTTGGCTTTAGGGACGTTCAGGCGACGTTTAAGAGACAGTTGAGTGGGATGTTATGCTGCTGTTGCAAAGGTCATGTGTGCCTCGCAAATTAGACGCTGTGGCAGTGCTCTCACTGGGTCGTTGGCAGTCTGTGCCGTCGTTGGCAGTTTCAGCTGACGCGTTTACTACGTTTGTCTGATTGTGGGTCCAAATTTGTTGAAGTGTAACCTGGAACATCTTACGATATTGGGTTCTGATAGCTATTTGGGACATGCTGAGTACTGTGTTCCGGAGCACGCAAAGGTAACCTAAAAATTCTCCGCTTGTTATGGCGGGAAGAGATAGAAGGGGCTGAGAAAATGTGCCAGGGTAAGAAGGCATTTATGATGACGAAAGCCAGCGGGCTTGGTTGTGAGCGTTCACGTCCCGGAGCCTTCGCTATCAGTGGGCATTGCTTAAGTAGGTTAAGCTGTACTCGCGTGGGAAGCGTCAAGCACGTATTCCTTTCGTGGAAGGTGGGTTGATAATGTAACACGGTTAGTGAAGCGGGTGGGATTACTGCGCTGTTATAGCGGCAAATGACGCCTGGCTGCATAGCGAGTGAGGTGAAACCAGTGAAGTCTGCGCGTCGTGATGCTGTGTGAAAGCCGGAGTTATTCTGTGGGCTCTCAGAGCCGGTGGAACTCGGATCTCAACGTCTTGGGCATTGCTCTTCTCTTGACAGATCGCCATTATGACTGCATGTTCACACAACCTCTTCACCTAAGTGAGCAGTAGATCGATCCGCAACTTTGTGCGCCACGTGGGCGTGAGGGATTCAGGGCATCTCCGCAGACGGACGCGTGATGACTGCATACCACGCGAACGGCCTCACCTAGCTGAACCATTAACTGCAGCCTCTCATTGAGTGAACGTCGATTACTTGGCCGGCTTGTAATGAGTGGTGCTGTCTGGCGCTCTGCGGGAGCTGTCCTATTGCCTTGCTCAGGAAGCGCTCGCCTCAGCTCTCAGTAACGCAGCCGCAGGCAGCTGGGTGTCACTCTATGATCGGGCAATGTCTGCGATGCTGTTCGATTTCCCTGTTCAAAGCTTCCGTCGTGGCTTACCAGCTTGATTTGGAGCTGTTGCGATGACATCTACGCTGTAATTGCTTGGAAACCGTGGAATTTTCCGTCTCTAGGGGGCTCTTGCGGGTTTGTCTAATTGCTATTCACTTCGCGTTCACCAACGCCTAACCGACGACTGTACCGGAACGTCTGTTTACTTCCAATGACTTGGAGACAAGACAATCCCTAAGGAAGTCCGGATGGCAGCACGTGGGATATATCTGCGGCTAACTCCACTCAAAGGCCAGTGCAGAGCATTTACGTCCATTATTCACGGTGCCGCACAATGTTATTTAACATGGTTCCGACAGGTAACAGCTTGCTGCTTCGTTTCGTTGTGCCGTTCACTAATGGCGGGTCCCTCCCCGAGGTCTGTCATTCCAAGCTTCTGGCCTTCTTCTGCCATTCCCCTGGACACTGAACGGAGCATGGCGAAATTCGTGTACCCTAGCCACACGGCTGCCGGCTTGTTTTCGGAAGTCCCGCGTCAAGAGCTGTTGGAAATGTTGGGTGCTGTTGCCATGGGGACGGCCGTTTGATCACGCCGATGTGCTTGCATTTGATTGGATGGCTGTGATAAGTGTGCACGAACCAAATACAGACGCGTAATGGTGACAGTGTTGTTGGTTGGCTGCGTGATAACGTGAGAAAAACGAACAACGCGGAACAAAAGACGACAAAGCCTGCGTGATAGTGCGAGAAAAACGAAAACACTTAGGCGGAAAAGACGAAAAAGAAACAGGAACGGGAGCTGGAGCGTTTGCGGCGTCGGCTACTGGCTCATACCTTTGTACATTTGTTGGTAGAATTTCTAGTACCCACTGAGGCGACTAGTGCGCAACATGCTGTTGGCAAGCGAGACAGTCCACGTGTTGGAGCATGAAAACTGAACCATTAATGGTTTAGCCCTAGTAGGGGATTAGCGTCTTGGGAACAATAACTTCCGTGGACTTTGCCGATCGATGACCATGGCTGCTGTGTCGTGTCTTGGAGGCGGGCCCGAGTTCATCGGAGGCGACCGACGAGTCACGGACGAAAATTCGACAGTTTCGGCGCAGCGACCCGGGGACGCTCCAGTCAAATTACAGACCGATCCGCGACTGACTGCATATGAGGGACAATACACGCACTTCACGAAAGGCAACTGCGCCAGCTGAACGGCGCTGGTGGTGACGTCAGAGTTCGTTCACGCGTGGCTGTGTTTCTGCGTTATCCGTCACCAGGCAGGCGTTTCTTCACCTTCGTCGGCCGGAGGGGGGGGGGGGGGGATCGCAGACCCGACTGTCAAAAAAACCTGACTTGTCAAACCCAAGCGGAGAGCGACATCGGTGGTACGCACCATGCTGCTCCAGCTTAGTCCATGCTGAACCAGGGGCGCTGGCAGGGGACACAGAGGTATGTGCTTCCCCTCTTAGGACCCGAAGGGCCCCTCAAGACCGACGATTGAGAGCCTTGATTGTGGGTTCGGAAGACTGGCCGGAGATCGCATTAAGGGACGCGCCCGCAGGGCCGGGCCCTCATAGGTCGGTCAGACGTTTTGCGTCATTTACCCCAAGTCGACGTCTGTCTGTCCTCTATGCCTGTCAGGCCCCACCAGTCTCGAACAGTCGGCTTCGTGTCAGTCTAGGCTTGAGGGCCTATTTCCGAAGCAGAGAAAAGGCCGGACCCGCGGTTTACATTGGTTGCGCCCCTGTGTCGCCCAGGGGCCCACAATGTCTAACAGGGGACCCTGTGTTGGCAACGAACCTCAAGTCAGTTAAGGCAAGTGTTCGAGGGGCCCTTCGGGCCCCCTCGGGACCGACGATCAAGGGCTCGATTGGAGCGCCGAAGGCTTGAGGGCTGGCTATAGGTCACAGTGAAGATAGCGTCCGGGAAGGCCGGCGCTACAGACATCGGTAAGATGGCCTCTTGTACCGATTAGGGCCCCTGGCCCTCGGGTCGACGCGGGCCTCTTTTTTCGACCAGAAACCACCAAAACCGAACAGCCCTCTCCGTGTCGGTGTGAACCCAGGGGACTTTTTCCTGAGCAGGGACAGGGCCGGGGCCCGGGGTTTGCACTGATCTAGGCCGCTAAAACAGCAAGGGGCCCCTTTGTCGGCAGGTGTCCCAGAGTCGTCCATGAGAACCTTTGCTAAGCAGGGACAGGGATGGACCGCCGAAATTCAGAGGGGCTGTTGTGTTGGTCGGGCCTCTGACGATAAGAGAATGCATGAAAAGCTGTCATGGGAGTCCACAACGATACACCACGGAAGAGCTCCGTGTCAGTCAAAGGCCCCAGCACCGAACGGGGGGCTCTCCATCTCTTTTCAGCCAAGGTCTCGTGAAGCCGAACTAGAGTCTCTGTGCCAATTATTATACGTCCTGCGGTGATAAGGGACCTTTCTGTGACAGTGAGGACCCCTGCATCGATTAGAGGCCAGCTGCCCGGGCAAGGGGACCCCTCGCATCAGGGAGGGGACCAATGTATAAAGCATCCCTCCGAATCGGTCAGGGCACACCGCGTCCGCGTCGCCAGGATAGCAGCTGGTAAGCAGCCCGCGCTGTGACAGAATGGCACTTCCACCTCTGGCAGAACACGATTATGTTCCCCTAGCGTTCTGCTCACGGGGCCCCCTGCCCGGAAAGAAGGTAAAGGGCCTCACTAGCGTTCAATAGCGGACATCGAATAAGGTTAAAAGTGGCAAAAGCCACCAGCGTTTTCCTGAGGGCGTCCAACACTTCGCAGAATTAGCTTTTAAAGCAAGTTAAATACAAAAGTTTTGAGCCTGCGCGCCCGCCAGATAAGAAACAAGAATATCAAACGCGGTTCATGTTTGCCTGTAAACGTCCATCAATTTGCATAATTGACTAGTAAATCAAATTAAATACATAAGTTTGGAGGGAGCGCGCTCGCCAGATTAGGAACAAAAACACCGATGGCCGGGGTTACAGTTTCCGTCAAACTAAACAACTTTCGCTGCTGCAGGTGACACCAGGCGGTAGGCGCCGGGCGCGCCGGTACAGTCGTCGTCCAACAATGCTTTCTGAAAGCCTTTTAAGGGCCATCCGCATCATTCAAAAATTATATTGAGGCGTATCTTTCACCAGCATGATTTTGAGGTCACTCTTTGAACACATTACAGTTAAAATAACATGAAAAATTGGGATTGTGCTTGTACTCTTCCAGTTATGCCACCAAATTCCAGTACCAGTTTAATATATATTCCAGTATAATATATATAAACCAGTATAATATATATCATAGAATTAATATATATATATATATATATATAATAAAAATAATATATACATATATGTTAAGTTATTTACCGTTCACCTACGCGGAAGACACTGCAAGAAAGCGCAAAGAAGATCGCTTTGCAGTTCACTTACTACCTCTTATTGTCGACTTCCCCAAACGTAGCTCATTTGTTGTGCAGGGCGCAGCCCAAAAATTTTGCCGTTTTTTTGTTTTGTCTGCGTCATACTAGCACTGAGGTCCCTCATAGCCTCGCTGCTCCAACGTAGCCAACGGTGTGTCCTGGTCATTTCACGCCTTGGCATTTCTTGTGTGGAGCTGCTCCGTGGGAGGTGCGCATTTCACTCTCGTGACAGGCATTGCGATCTCGAGTTACCCAAGCCTGCATAAGGAAGGACCCAGGCCCGAATGGAGCAGGGGTGACGTGGTGCAGGGGTGGCGTGACGTAGTGCGGAGGTGACGTCATGTGGTGAGTGGTTGACGTGACGTGGTGCGGGGGGGGGGGGGGTGACGTACCGTGTTGCGAGGGAGACGTAGACGTGTTGCGGGCTGCCGTGGCTTGACCGCTCTTGTGATCTGGGGGACATCGACTCACCGCGGTCATGATGCAGCAGCACCAGAAGCGGTGGTTTAATCGCGGGTCCTGTCAACGACCCAGCCGCACGGGTCTGGCGCTCCAGTGAGCCAGAGTCACTCCCGACACTCACAGGAACGTGACGGACGCGTAGGACGGTCATTGAGTGCAGTACCTGCCTGGGTGGCTGCCAATGACGTCACGAGTGTCTACGTCACACGCACGTGACTATACTTCAAGCCGCGGGAGCTGTTGCGATCGAGTTACCTGTGACGTCACAGGTTGCATCGGCGTTGGGCGATGGTAACACGGCCCAGGGGGCAAGCACCCGGATGGCCGGGGTCAGAGGGCAGCGGGAGGGTCAAGGTCACCACCTGACAGGAATCAATTGGGCCCGGGTCGCGACAAACGTCTGTCACGTCGCGTGAGCATAGCACGACGCGCGGGCGGGTAACGTTTGCCGCGGCAGCATCGGCCATCGTCAGCCATCGCAGTGAAACGCCCCGGGCTTGCGGTTATCTGTACTGTACTGCACTCTGTACTGCACTGCACTCTGTACTGCATGTTCCCACCCGGCTGCATGTACGCGTTTCCATGATGAAGCTGCCACGACCCATATGGAGGGGAGCGAGACATTTGTTTTTGACGGACAATTGCATGCGTTGTTTTCTGATCTTGTGAATGCTTGTGGTCAAATATTCAACGCACCGTTGCAGCTTTTGCCGGCCGTTAACAGTGAGAAGTCAAATAAACTATTTGCTCGATATCCGGTGTTTTGTATATTTTTTTCTTTTCTCTCTGTTTTGTAACGCGACCTCCTATTTTTCGCCTTACGCTATCGTATTTAAGCCAGCACTGGATCTACTATACTGTAGACTAGAACCTACCAGGCTCCCCCCGGCGTAAACCTTTTGTTCACGTCCATCGCTCGTTTTTCGTGTGACCGCATCCACATCTTCACAAGTGGGTGCATTCGGAACGTCGTTTATTTTTTGTGCTTGGTGACAAAACTAGGAAACAATACTAATACAAAATGCAAATATTTATCCCGCCTGACGCCAGATATAGATGACGTCCCTAATCTCCAACCTGTCTCGGTCCTGCGGCGCTGCCATGTTGTTGACAAACCCATGCACCCTTTAGGCGTGGCGAAGCGTGTCATCAAACTTGCTGGACTACCACGTGTCATTTTGCGGACCGAGACACTGGCGTCACTGAAACCTGATGAGCCGTTTCACGCCCAGTGAAACCCAACGTTAAATTCAATATTGAATAACCTTCAACAAATAAATTACTAATATACGAGCTGCATGTTAGTCTAAGATGGGGTTGTTTCTGTCGATGATGTCATCATATGTTAAAGTTGAGCAGCTGCGCTTCGTTTGCACTGTGTTGAAATCATCGCTGTGCTGGGGACCTGCAGCTGCGCTCCATCTTATGGCACCTGCGACTGCACTGGCTCAAAGGAGACAAGCGCTGCGGCTCCAGCGGCTACTCTACTGGTTTCGGTAGAATCAGGCGCTGCACGATCTGCGGGCTCTGATTTTTGCTGTTTTTTTGCTGGATCTGCTGGTTTTAAATTTGCAATATTGCTTCATGTCTATTGTTCAATTTAGTTTTGCGATTGTCTGTTCTGAGGTAGCCTTTAAGCCAGAGTTCAAGCACCGAACACCGACTTTCAATGGTCACAATTGCTTCTGATGTCAGTAACATGACTTAGACTAGTAGAGCATATTATATTTCAGCATACGAGCATCGGTCATTTGTACATCAGTATAAAAGAAATAACACAACAGTGACCCT